TTTACATACGTGTACCTTGGTGTTTAACCTTGCAAATACACTGTACCTTACATGTAGTTTAGTTACCGGATTTTCTCGTAAAGATTTGCTGTCGGAGCCCAGTGAAAGGGGAGGGGCATCTGCAGACAAGAATGAACAACATTGGAGTAGTGGTTATAAATTTTGTTTCTGTAATCTTCAGTGAAAAAGTTACAATGGTGACCCTTTGCAGTATACATGTATTCGTGCCACTCTTGGCACGGTGCCTTGCAGACATGACTGTGCAATTCCCACTACAGCGCAATGTACCCGCACATGTACATGGACATGTACAGGTGCACAAACTGTGCAATCCAAGTGAGTGGTTTTATAATAATAATAATTATTTTTTAATAAAAAGCTATTTATGTCACTGACATGACAGAGCGCTGTGCAGTGAATAATCTACAGCTTGTTAAAAAATACAAATAAAGCAGTCCCAAAACAAAGCCAAGTAAAATTCAAACTAAAAATTAAATGCTTCAAAAAGCTGAGTCTTTTAAGTTGGTTTTCAAAATCTCAAAAGAGACAGCAGTTCAAATTGTTGGCAGCCTATTCCACAGACGACGAGGGGCCTGGGAGGTTTATGGTGCATGGTCAGTCGCCACAATATCTAGTTATATGGCTCAGTGCTGTAAATAAACCACACCAGAGGATGTCAAGGGCAGAGTGCATGCACTTAAATAAGCTCTTAATTAGTACTTCACACAGATAAGCCTTAGGAGCTATGCCTGTTATAAAAACGCATGCCTTGTATAGACTTGTGTGTGCACACAAAGTGTCCGTTTTGTACTTCGATCCTTGTATTTTTATGTATTTGCCTCCAGTTACGGCATGACGTTATCAACAACTTGGGATTTGAATGTTCACCCCCCTCCCACTTTGAAGCAATGCTTTGCCAAAGTATATTTCCGTTTTGCTTACCAAGTACGCATTCACTGAATGTGCAGTTGCATGAGATCACGCCAGCATCTCTTGCTCATTATTTTTACAAATGGTTAAAACAATGTGCCCCCTAGCATGCCTAGTGTGGCGTAGCTGCCAGTCCAACCTGAAAGGATCAGTGCTCTTTGACCTAAGCGATATGCATGGGATTCCATCCCTGGACTTGAGGCTGAGTTTGCCCCTCGAAAAAAGCACCAGAGTTGCATCAGGGTGACCATACATTGTCAGTTCAAACCAAACCTCACAGGGACATACTACATGCATATGATTTGAAATCTCCATGTACAAAAGTTGGACATCTAGCTGAGTTATGCTTGATTCCAGGGCTGCAGTGCATGTAGATTTCAAGGAACCAAATTTCACCTACATGTAAACTTGAAAACTGCCTCTTTGTGCATGTGATGGGTATGTATCAAGAAAAGGTCATATCCTTATCTTTATACATGTCAGGTAATTTATATTTACATGTATCAAGAGGTAGATCACAACAAAGCCTCCACATGGAATGGCTGATGTGTCAATTTACACAGTGATAAGATTTTGTTGGTACTGGTATTGTGGAGATATGGAATGTAAGTAAGCAAACTCAGTACTACCCCAGTGTTATCAGGCTTCCCTGTTCCATTGTTGGAACTGGGAATGGTGGGGACCAAAGCTGTAACGCTGGAGAAGGGAACATGTTGCGTGGAACCTCTTTGTACATGCAAGAATCTTGGGGCTGTAACCTGTTCAAATATCTCCTCGTTTAGGAACTGACAGAGAGTGATGAATTGCAGACAGCTAGTTGAACGTAATAAATTGTCAGCATCGTTAGTTGGGGGGGTTGACATTTACAATGCATTGTGGGATTGGATGAAAAAGATGCAATGCATTTTATGCACAGTCCCATGGAAGAAGTATACCTTCCAACCAATCAGTTCCACTATGTGAAATTGTGGAAATCAAGCCATTTTCTTACACGGCAAGTGTTGAATTTGAACAGCCACTCACAAAAACTGACATTTTAAAGTTTTCTATTGTAATATCTCATGGGTGGTCCCTTCCATGGACAGTAATTTCTGTTTTGGATTAAGAATGTCAGTGAGCCAATTATGACCAATCAAATCAGCTCACTTAGATCCTCCCATATTGGCCAATCACATTAATTTTACAGCCCTTAGTAAGAGCTGCCCTTTAATGGAAACAATTAAGAGCAGTTGTTTATAAGCCTTTGAAATTTACTCTTAATGAATATTTTTCAGATTCTATGAATTTGTGTTTATGAAGAATAATCTACATTTATGGAGAATTATGTTGATCCATGTGGGAAGTTAATGGGTCAAACATGAATTAATGATTTATTGTTCAAATGAAAATATATTTTTAAATGTATATAATTTCTATAGTTTCATTAATAATTTATATAATGTGTTATTAATAATATGTTAGTTTAAAAAATTGCAGTTTCTCTGTCAACAAATCCCATGGTGCAAAGAGAATGTCACAATGTAAAGGTTGCCATATTTATGGTAATTGTTATCTGAAATGTGTGACTCTCATGAAACTGATCAGCCACACAGTTGAGAATAAGTGTTAATCAAATTTCACAAATTTAGTCTAACAAAATTAAAATGCAAGAAATTGAGAGTCCTTTATACAAGGATAAAATACACGTATAAATACTAAGTTACAACGTACATAAAGTCAGTTTTAAAAAGATAGGTCTTAATTATAGGGCACTTGTAATTGAGACATAGGCCTGCTGATTCAGAAGTTACACAATCTGAGCTCCTCCCTGAAAAGCTGGTTTTTGGTTCACTCGGCTCAAGCTACCAAATCTCATTGCACTTGCACTAACTTACTTGACCTTTTATCCCACCCTAATGTGTTTTAGTGTGGACATAGTACATCACACTACCAACAATAGTAACGACCACAACAATCAACAAACAAAATACAGAAAAAAACAGATAGATAAATCACTTTACCCACCCATCTACTCTAATTTTCTTTTTCAGTGCAACTGTTTGCCCTATTGCCCCCCCTCATTTTTTTCTAAAGATACGAAATACAAAACTGCTGCAAACTGACCACAATGACCTAAAATACAACTCTTAATTTTCAGTTTGAAAATGTTTGCCTTGAAATGTAAAAACAAGCTATATGTATGCAAAATGTACATGTACATGTATTTGTTCCACGCAGCCAGACAGAACATTGTTTTAACTGCCATTTTTGAGCCTGTCCACGTGCAACAATTGATCTCCGTTTTTGGACACCATTTTTTTTTTTACTTCACCGAAATCTTCGTGTGCAACACAGGTCATAATCGTCAGTAAACAGATGCGTAGTACACTGTTGAAACTACCCTGTAGTGGAACAAATCTGTTCTTATTCTGTTCAGTCATTTTTGCTTTTCTGTAAGGACAGTGTCAACATCAATCATTGTCTGCTATTCTCGTTTTTGCACACCATGCGATTTGCATGCAAGCGTTGCGTAGGTGTAGTGCCTTGCATTTCTTTTAAACACATTTGCTTCATTTGCAGTGGTGTCCTTCGCAAGTACAATGTGGTCGTTCTGAGCGATGAGATATACGGACACACACAATACCAGGGAGATTTTCTGAGTCTGGCAAAGGTGAGGAGAAAAAACAAGATGAAGAACGCTTGTTATTCCTGAATCCTTTCACAGTCAGAGGATCCTTAAATAATACAACATGAAAATTAAAAATTCAGTGAAACCCCAACTCACATTGGAGAACATCTCCAGATGATTTCTTGGGCCGGCATACATCCTGATTTCTGTCCATGGGAATTATATAGGCTATCAAAGCAATCTACGTGTAGTTTGCTAGCTGGAAGTCGTAGATGTCTGGCAAAAAAGCTGTGATAAAGAGACAAAGTGAAATTATTATGGTTTGATTTTCAGACATTTTAAGTATAACTGTGAGTCACCTGGCCTCCAGTTATCTCATATTATCTCCATTATCGTGGCCAACCAGAATGGTGTCAGCAGTGGGATTAAAAAAAAGTCGGATGTCTCTCTGTTCATATCAACCCTGTGTAATTTTGTCCAGTTGTATGCCTTACCTAATACTTAATTGCTTATTCATTGGCCATCATCTTACAGTATTATCCGGAAGGCACCATCATTTCCAGCGGCCTCTCCAAGTGTTTCAGTGCGGGAGGTTGGCGGGTGAGTTGGCTTTCAGGCAAGCTTAATTGATTTTATATCGCAGTCCTTATGCGACAGACACTGGAAACTTTTCAAAAGTTGGTTTAAAACTTCGAAGCAGCATAAGAGTTCAACTTGCCAGAGATTAAACGTAAAACATGCCAGTACTGGAATACTAAGAAGCATTGTGCTTTGGGATTGACCAATGGGGTAAGGTTTAAAAGGTTCATGTAAGTGTGGTTCAGTAAAATAGATACACTTCTGAAAGAACATCTACAGTATGTAGCTGAGTACATGTATCTCCACATGAAAGTGGAAAGTTTGTCATGCTGCACCAACCTCATTAGTAATCTTGATCATTTACCAGTGTCCCCCCCAAATGTACTAAATATGGCAGTGGAATTAAAGTTAGTGGCGCTGCTTACTATTTCCACTGTGCTTTGTCAAAAAGCTCTTTTCCATCAAGGAATTACCTGTGATATGCAAGTAGCAGCGAGACCCAAGTTATACTTCTGGCGTGACATTGCCCAACTCTTTTATTGCCTCTTTTATTGTCACCATGGTTTGGTTACACATGTAGCCTAGACAAATTTCCTCTCTGTAGATGTTGGATTGAAATTGGTGTGACCAGACCCATCCCATGGCCTGAGACTAGGGGATGGGGTGCTTGTGCATTATGATGGCTTTTGTTTTGCCATAACTCGTTATACCCGGCTGATGGACACGTTAGGTTTGGATGACGCTAGATTTATTGTCGTTACACCGATTCGGTGAACACTTAACCCAAATCCACAGCCAAGGCAGTTACGATAGAAAAAAGGAAGCCACAAGCAGAACTTGTCAGCCCCCCTATCCCCTTCTCCCAACCCCAATCACATTTCGTCTTGTGTTTTTTTGGTTTTTTTTTCTGGATGCAGTGCGGCTACAGCATTTACCCTAAGGAACTGGTGGCGCTATACAAGACGGTGTGCAGCGCGTCCAGTCACACCCACTCGTGTGCTGCGGCGCCCGTTCAACACGCTGCCATCCATGTAGGTATAGTGTTGATACTTGCAAGCACTGCCAACTGGTGATGACAAGCTCCTTCAAACTCAGGGGGAAAAAATCTGTGAAAAGTGTAGTTCTAGAGAGAGCTTTTAAACTGATACTTGAAAAGAGCCATGTTGGTCGGGAGTGCTCATTTTGTTGGCAATGATGCGACTGCAATGTATGCATTTCATAGTTGTTAGTGAGCCAGCTCCTACCAGTTCCTACCAAAAGAACCTCTGTTGCTAAGAACATTGTGCCCTCTGTTGGTCCAGCTCAGAGCCCATGATAAGGATGCTCAGTGTGATATCCTTGTCATCAGATGAACAGTCTCATCTTGGTAAAGTGTGCATGAAGAGGAAAACCTAATCGATAAGCATATTGTACACTCTTTATGAATTCTGACCAGCTGTTAAACAATTGATGGAGATGGTTTTATTTATAACCTTAATCCCGCCAGTTTACAGTCTAACAAGAAATATGGCACTGGTGGGAAGTCAAGAAGTTTCATGGAAAGACATCCCGGCAATGTTAGAACGTGATCCAGCTCTCTGGGCTGAGAAATTCCTGGAGGTGTGCCAGCCGTTGCCCCGAATGCTTTCTAAAAGAGATAAGTCAGAAGCCGGCAGTGTTTCAGAACTGTGGAGTGGTTGTTTCACTTCTCGTGTTAGTTTCCAGAGTGAATGGGTTAAGCGAAAAATATATATCGTGTCTGATTTTTGTGGCTCCATTGTATTTTCAGCTTTTCAAGCTGGGCGATGAGACAAAAGAGTACCTGAAGGGATGCAGATGCATCATGGGAGCCCTGGCCAAATTTTGTCACAGGTAAGATCAAAGGTGTTTTGGAACAGGGAACTGTGCGCAGAAAGGAAATGTAATAAAGTAATGTTATTGCGAGTTTGAAAACAAAATGGTTCTTGCTATCCAGAGAGTTGACCAGATGCGGCGTCCAAGCTATCCTTCCCGTTGCTGGCTACTACATTTTCCCTGACTTTGAGATCCTGCGTCCTGTACTCGAGGCTCGAGGTATACTGACCTGCGAGCAAATGTGCGAGGCACTCTTCAAAGAAGCCGATGTGGTAGTGAGTTATGACGTCTTCATATGTGTCACTCTCCATGTGTTTCCACCCTTTGATCTCGCTGTGGTTTAATATTTAGTGCTCGTTGACAGCTTGTCATGTTTTGTCACATGTATTGATTTTGGTGAGAACACGCTAGGTCTTCATAGGTCTTCATATGTGTCATTCTCCATGTGTTTCCACCCTTTGATCTTGCTGTGGTTTAATATTTAGTGCTTGTTGAAAGCTTGTCATGTTTTGTCACATGTATTGATTTTGGTGAGAACACGCTAGTTTTACCTTCAGTAGTCGGTACATGTAGTTAACAATATGGATTCATGGGGCGCTCTTATCTGGAAACTAATCAAGGTGCATACATAACTGGGTTAGATTGGTCTTTCCTGGCCAGGCTGGATTGAGCTGGGTTGAGCCACATAAAGGCCTTTTCCCACAATAACAAATCTCGCGAGGGGCCCGGAGCCATGTTTTACACTTGTAACTGAGGCAAGTATTGTCGCATTTCAAATTTATTTCTCATACTGATAATAAAAATTCAGCAATGAAGAACTCGGCATCATGCTATAAACTTTGTGGAGAAAGCAGGTTAAACCACTGTGGAAGGTGCCTGCTGATGGACTTGACGAAGCCTCCCCAAAGTTTGAAAACTTGAGTGAGAATCGCTTGTGCCTATGCCAAGGGCGAACTCGCTCCGGGATGCTGTTCGAGTTAACCCAGGGGATGGACATTCTAGTGCGGAAAGGCCTGGAGTCTACATGTGGTAGGGGTGGTCCAGAAAAGGGTACAGGCCTCTAGGGGAGGAAAACCGAACAGGAGTCCTCCCCCCTCCCCACTGATTTTTCAGATTGAATTTTGATCTCTCCCCTAACACCCGCAATCCCCTCATTATAACCTCCACCCAGTTCTTCCTTAGAAACCCTCAGGTAGACACTTGGCCTGGCTTGGGTGGGTTGGCCTTACCAGTGACAAGAGCTTAGGGACTAGGCTTGGCTGAGCCAGCCAGAGCAGGCCTTGTCCAGGCTTCCGCGGTAGAGGCCTATAGTCCTGTCTTGGATGTTACAGAATGAGTACACGTTGTCTATACATGAAGAAGCATTCCTATATATATTTAACTCAGGCCAACATATTTTTTATTTGTTGCATTATAAATGTACTGATCCTAAATAATAACAATTACAGAAATAAAGATGAAGAGAAAATTCCTCATTTTATTCTCACTGGTGCATGTTTTCAATTTTTCCCTTGACACAATATTTTGAGTGAAATAATAAAAAAAGTAACCCTCACCTTTAACCTATACTGCCGACCATTCTAAATTTCATTCAGTGTTAAATTTCATGCTGTGTTAACAGCATTGTTGATGGCAATATTTTGCTTAAAAAAGCTTGCCTTCTGACCGTATTTGCTCTTATTGTTTAACCAACTCAACATGTCCCTTTTCCCAGGTGATGGCTGGAGGGCCCGGCTTCATGCGACCCCTGACGGAGTTCACCGTGCGGCTCTGCTTCGTCAACTTCGATGGAGGGGTCGCCCTGGATGGGTGGAGGCGCCAAGGTTGCAAGGAGACACTGGATCAGGAGTTCTTGGATGAGTTCTGCAGCCCAGTGGTCCTGGGGATCAAGGTAAATGCACACCAAGCAGAGCACTCGAGCAGTTTCGGATTTGGCGACCAACATAGCATGAAGTATACATGTCTCTTGGTATTTTGATGTGGTCAGACAAAATGTAATGAGGAAACATATAGGTGGTTTGCGATTCTACTCTGTGCTTACAAATCATGATTAAACCGTGAGAGTGCGTTCTCATGGTCCTGCAATATGTCTGATGAAATGGAAGATGACTTCGCTAGTACATCTTTGTCCAATCATTTTTAGGCTTAGTTTTATGCTCTGAACCTGATTGTTATTCAACATTAGCTAACTCTTTATTGCCCAATCTGGACCAAGACGTTCACGGCCATCTTTGTTAAGTTAGATTGAGTCGGTGGACGTTTGTGTATCCCAGTTTTATCCATGTGTAGTCTGCCCAAGTTTACAACCATATGCAGTGAGTGTACGTGTGTTGGAATTTGCTGTTGCACACTTTAAAGGTTTCTTTTGTTGTAAAATGTACATTTCCATCAGAAAATCTTTTTTAAAGGTGCTTTAAGTGGGAGTGGAACCTCTGACCACACTGAAAGTTTAACACTGCACTGATCCTACGGCAGCTGCGTAGAGAAATTGACTGAAGGGGGATCTGAACAGGAACATTGAGTGATCATGGAAAAGGTTTCTCTCATGGAGAAAACAAGCCAAAACTCTTAAAGTATGTGTGGATGGTCAGCCTTTCAGTATTCATTTTTTTTTTTTTTTGGCTGTTGTCCTCTCAATAGGCCATCGTGTCCTGGGTGGAAAAACAGCAGGCTGCTTTGTAGTTGCACTGCACCGGTTTCCGAGTTCCGCAGGGAAAAAAGACGGCTCTCATCTGTGAGTGTTTTTTCAAGTCTGGTGCTGACATTACCTCGAGCCACCTCTGTGCTGGCCTTCTCTCGTGTGTACATGTACCGTCTCCAAGAATGTGTTTCTTCTCTGAATGTTGAATAATAATAATGACGATAACGATTGTAATGTTTATACAGCACTTTCCCTGGATCCAGTGATCTCAAAGTACTTTACAATTTGTAACATTTCCTTGATTTGAGCACCCTTAAACCCACAACGACCAAATTGCAGTTCAGTTTGACAAGTGAAAGCGGCGACCATGTAAGAAATGTTCAATTACTTGTATGGCAAATGATAAAACATTGAAGAGGTATGCGACGGTAGTTGTGAAATGATTAATTTCTATTTGCATAGGTATACAAAACAAAATAATCGAGGTAAAACTAATGTAACATCTGTGACTGTGTATGTGATATATATTTATATAGTCGCCAGGTCCCTAATTTTGCCACCTATTATCAGGTGTCATTGGTTTTTACAGTAAGTGACAGAATAAGAGACCTGGCGACTACACCATTGTGGACATTATGTTTAGATGTTTTTTCTGCATTATTTAGAGAGATGTTCAGCAACTAGAAAGTTGTTCTGTGTATTTACTAACAAAACAAAAGAGATATACCCCGATGGTTTCCCTGTACAAGCATGTTACTCAACAGTAGTACAGTCACACCTGTGACTGTTGCATGGGTGGGTTTTTTAAAGTGTTCAAGCGATCGATTTTTCTCACACTTGCTGTACAATGTTACACTCCTTTGCCGTGTACGAAAACGATTTGACATCCAATTATATTGAAAAGTTACATTTTATAAAACTGCCCACATCCACCCTTGGAATACAGCCGCACTGGTCATCGGTGTTGATTTTTGTGAAGGGGAACTGGTGAAAAAAGCCTGTAGTGAGACAGGAGAGAACCAGTGCTGTGTTTAGAGAGAGTTGCGACATGGGTGTCTCAATTATTGGAACCAAAATGGTGGATTATGCATCAGTGCATGTGAGCAATAGATGGTATCTGCAAGAGACCTAATTTCAGTCGTATTCCTGAACGCATAGTATACGATATAGATATTTGAAACCCTTAATGGGATGGTACCAGGTGATTTGGGGGGATTGGAATGAAATCGTAGAACAGAGTCTGGTTCTTCAAATTTAAAGTTTTCAAATGAATATACTATGTCAGGGAATCTGTCTGAAATTTGGCCCCTGTGTGTATATACGGTCTATCAGCACGCAGGAGCTGCATGCTGTACTGCACAAATAAATGAACAGCCATGTTGGTTCCAAAGTCTCAAGTTGGCGCTAGTCTCTCTCTACATGTACAGTAAACAGCTCTGGAGAGAACCCACTGCTCCACTCACATTTGGCCGGGCAGGGAATCGAATCCAGGACCACTGTAATGAGAAGGGAATACTGGTTTGTACACTGTCCACCCATAGTTTCTGCAGTGACCACTCAGGCGAGTTTTGTTTAAAACTTGGGTTTAGCATTCCCACTGGCTTTATTGGAGGCCACCTGGTGATGAGTTTTTGAGGGCTGTCTGCATACATGTATCTGTATAGTTCTGTGCTCCAAGTATTTACCTGACATATTTTAGCAGTGGGGTATCAAGGTCTTACATGTAGGTGGGGAGGGGGCAAAATGGAATTTCCTTTCTGCAAAAAAAAAAAATTTTGTGGAAGAAAATCCTCACCTTTCTACCTTTCAAGTTAGTACGTGTTGTACCATTTCTGAAATATTGGCACTTTCAATCCCTCTAGAATCCCTTAACAGAATATTTTAAAAAAATAATAAATTGAAATCTCAGGAAAACTGTTCTCAGGGAATACCCCTTTCCCACTGCTTGATACACCGCTGGTGTATAGTCATTTGCCTTTGCCAGGTTGTTTCATGGATGCATGCTCTATTGCATAATGTACTTTGTAACTTTAAAACAATTGAAGTTTGAAAAGAAGAAAAGATCACCCTCAAATATCTGCTTACAAAAGAGCTCCAGCAAAAGAAATGATGTGATTGTTCAAATCGAGTTCAGTGAACTTCAGATCTTGATTCTGATTGGACAATCTTGCTCAATGACTTTCACGGTCATAGTCAAAGATAGAGACCGGTGTTCCAATGATGATTGAAGGGATATCCCAAACTTTCTCTTTCTGATAAGATTTAATGTTTGATATGGGGGGGTTACTACTGCAAATCCTTAATGCAACATCACGTGATCATTTGGAATACAGCGGCAACTGAGGAAGGTTTTGCTGGTACGTTTCTTTCATTGGTTTGTGAATAAGCTGCTTGTTCGTCATTCAGTCCCATGATGCAGTGGGCCTATCAGAAAGGTTTATTCAACTCTGATGCGGGTCCAAGGGCAGGGTTATTCTCCCTAAATGCTAAAAAGAATAAAAACATTCCAGTTTTTAGGAATGAACCTAGATCCGCCTCTGCCCGGGTCCCCTATGTTAATAGGACTACCCGTAGCCCGTAGAAATGTCAAATCCAGGCTACTCTGTGCTGGATTCTCTCTGTTTCGTTTGAGCTTTGCAAAACTTCAAATGGCTGCAGAGTTTGAACGATGAAGCTGAAGTCAGAGATAAGCCAAGTTTGAGAAAGCGTCTTTGAATTATTAAAATCATACAAGCATTGCTTTATGCTAATTATTAACTTAAAGCTCACTTTCAAACTCTCAGACATCTATTTTAACAGGTGTAGCACATTGCAGTTTAAAGTGACCCACTTTGACCTTTTTCTTTTTGAATGTTCCTCAATTGTTCTCATACTTTTTTTAATTTTAAAACATTAAAAGACAATTTAGTTGCTTTGAAATTAAATGACCTAGAAGGTAGCCGTGATCGGAAGTAAATTTTGATAATACATGTAAGAGGGGATCTGTATTGAAATTGACTTTGATTTTAAAAAGTAATGTTATTCAATTCGGTGATTTTAATGATTTTAACAAAGATAATAATTTTTATCATATATGTACACTTATTAGATGCACAGGTATAGCTTTAAGTGAATTTAACAAAAATCATATTTTATCATATATGTACAATGAGTATAATTTTTTATTCATTAAAAGTGGAATTACGTTCTGAACAAGCCCTTCATAGTTTCCATGTGTTATGTTGACAAGTATATTACATGCCACACATCAGTAGCGAAACATTTCACATCGCTTCATCACGAACTGATGTTGATGCTGATGATGTCCGTATGATGTGGCGCTCTCGATGTAATGTTCACTCTCTCCCCTTCGGTTGACGCACCGCAAATTGCTGATGCATGTAAAAAGGATTGTCAACCATTAATATCTTTAAAACCTCCACCTTGTGTTTCGCAGAAAGAATAGGCCCAATTCTTGTTTTATTTTCTTATTTTGTGTACTTTTTAAAAACAGTCTGCCGCGTTCGTTTATTGAGTCAAAACTTTATTTGCAGCCATCTAACGGTACCAATAAATCCGAGGCTGCAGGGATATAGTATTTCCACCGAGGTTGGCAACGTGGGCTTTAAATGACATTTTAATTAAGTGTTTGAGGATAAGGCTGACATTTTTTGTTGATATGTTGGATTATGAACGTACGCGTCGACCACGGTTTTAGGGGGAAATTTCAATGTTTGCCATGTCACGGGGTTATTTATTTTTAAAAAATTCGTCACCTAATGATTAAGTGTTTTTTTTTGGGGGGGGGAAGACAAAACAAACTGAATTGCCTTCAATAAAACCCCGCCAAGGGTTGGGGACCTCAGAGAGTTTGCACGAAAGCTCATGAATTCCAGGGTTTGGGCCTACACAAACGGAATTAGGGTGGATTGAAATTTTAAACACGATTTTGTGCTTTGTTTTGATTTAAACAAAATTATGTCCTAATCTGCATTTGGTGGAGCCATAACTTTTTGTTCCTGCGGAAAATGCAAAATAATAATAATAATAACAAAACAGATCCGACTGGAGACAGGTTACATTGCGCACAGCCGGCCATAACCATACATCCATCCATATGTAGCTCTCGGATCCGGGGTGGGAATTTTTGTCTACAAAATTTTTATTTGTAAAAAAAAATGCTGACCCCCACACAAAGACAGGTCGTTATACCGTATTTAAGATGCCAGTGCTTCCGATCTAGTGATTCGGTGATTTCGAACAAGTAAATGAATTAAACATAATATGCTTGGAAACCATTGATCCCGCCTTAGGGGCAAAAGCAAGAACGTTACGCCAAGCTTTCGTTCTGTATGTGCTCTTCTTTCTTCGTGCACCGCCTTTGGAGCGTGAAAGTATCTCCATTGATCGCGCCTACGGACGGGGGGGGGGTTCCATTTCGTTTCGTTGATTTATTTTTCGATTTCGAAGCGAAAAGCGACGAACAAGTCGTTTCCGTTTTATTTGAAGACGAAAACGTTGTAGAGGAACAAGAAAAAACGACCGGTTCAATTTTTTGTCCATGTGGAAAACGATATGGGCTCCCATGGTTCCCTGTATGAGGTCCATAGGAAAGGAAAGAGTGTAAACGAAGAGTGGTGTTATCAACACAGAATTTAAGGACCAGGATGAACGTTTCGTTCGTTCAAATAAAAAAAAGTTCATTTTTTTAATATTGAAAAAGAAAACTTAAACAAAGCCACTTCTCCTTTTTTCATTTGAAAAAAAAACGAGGAAAAGGAAAACCAGGTCGTGGTTTTTAGTTTTTCATTTTGAAAATGATGAGATAAAATGAAAGTGATTTCTTTCAAAGTTAATTTTAATCCAAATTTTCTTGTACTTGACATCAAGTTCGAAGTAGGCTGGTTCCCTGCCGTGTGTGTGCGTGCGACAGGTAGCCACCGCCTCTTACGTCATTTCTGTCATGAAGATGCAACACCCACATGGCCTGATTTTATTCATTTATTTTGGGACAGTCTGCTAATTGAAGTTGTGCCGAAGGTCGAGGTATCAACCTGCAAAAGAAAACAGGCGATAAAAAGCTAGTAACTGTTTTAGAATTGTGATGCATTTGGGGAAATCGGCTAAAATGGTGCACTTTATTCACGCCCATGATTTTTATTTGAAGTTATGATGAACTTTTCCAAACATCAACGAAATAGGTTCGAAAATGTCAGCCAGTGTAGGAATATGAGAAGATTCCGGTGGTTGCTCCTTTTACTTTGTGCAACATGAGGTTTCTTTCATAATAAGTGGACTCACCGGACGCTTCTTACCATCTGAACAATGGAACCCTTTTCTTATTTATCTAAATTACCATGTTATTTGAACCATTTCACATTTACAACGAAAAACAAAGTAATTCTCGTTTTTCAAATAAAAAAGAAGACGACTTTTTTATTTCTTGTTTTCTTTTCATAATGAAACTTTTTGTAATCTTTGGTTTTTCATCCAACGAATTGAACCAAACGTACATGGACATGAACCCAAAACCCTGGTCATCGCCAATTAACTTTAATTGACGATGACCAGGGTTTGGGATTCATTTTTCATTCGTTTTTTTGGATTTTGGATATACTTATAAACCCGCAGACGCAATGCAGCCAGCCACATTTGATGCAAACTATCTGCGACAGAGAGAGCCCCCCCCCCCAGCCTTTGTGTTGGTCATTGTTTAAGTGGTATCTCAGGAATTCTTTTCAGACATCTAGGGGGAATGATGTGTGAAGTAACAATAGGCTGGAGTGTGTATGCGGATTGGACTTGTTGGGGGCGTACCCGACCCTCTGTCCCATTTCGTTCCTGGCACATACAGCTAGCCGCACGCGTAGGCTAAATGATTGCTTCGATAGAGGGCGCCATGTCATTTGCTAGGCTGGTTGAACTGAGGAAAGAGTTGGTCTGGATCTCCATCGCCTAAAGACGCATAACATAGCACAAGTATAACCGGGAAACTGCCTACATGTAACAGTGCAGTGTACGTGTACGTACGTGTACTTGTAACTCGACCGATTCGAACGAGTTTGTCCGACTACATGTACACTGTACACATGTATATTGCGACACTTTGGAAGACACTTTTCGATTATTCTCTTTGGTAAGTCATCTCTCATAAATATTCAGTATTCTTCAACTCAAGAACGTAGAAGTAACGCATTATCTAGGTCGTCACCGGAGATGTGGCGTGAACATGATGAAGTAAGAACAGTAGGCTAAGGCCGAGTAGGCTGTGCTACTCTCAAACATGTCAAACGTGAGTTGAGCGTTACTTTAGTATTACTCTTTTTCGATTTTGGACGGGATTGTCATACTAACGCTAGTATACTATTAGTAAAGTGACAACAGTTCTCAACAATTCCAAAGACTCACCCAAAATACCTGTTATTCACCACCTAAGTCCAAGGCCTGCTCATGCTGCTGGCTTTTTTAAATGCCAAAGGAAAACTTTTAGGGCTTTAGTGATATTTTCGACTTCAAAATCTGTCAAAATATGACTGTTTTCACTGGGCACACGCACAACACTTAAACTCTTCGTCGCCTCCTCCGATTCAAATACGCACGTCTAGATTTTTCTGGTGCTATAACTTTAAGGGCAAACATGTAAATATGTCTTGTGCCCCGACTACATATGGGCCTCTCCTGCGGTTTTGTTAGATCAAACATCAGGAATCAGTAAGGCTTATGGAGTACTTTGTAGTGTTTTACTGTTTACAGGATATTTAGGCCTGCCTACCTACATGTAGGCCTACCGGTACATCACCTAACTTTCCTCCATGCGTCAACAGGCATAAAACAAAGTGTCAGTTGAGTTGTTCAGGCAAATGCAAAAGTTTTATATTTGGGCCCAGGCCCACCTTTTCGACGTTCACAAAGCATTATGGGATTGGATGAAAAACAAGCGATGCATTTTTATGCATATCAAATTTAACTCAAATGATACATGCATAGGTACATGTACAGTGTATTTAGGCCAAACAGTTAGGTCTGCTGTATTTTGAGTGACAAGTCTGGCCTGCTCGCACATCCTGACCAGCCGCCATCTTGTTTTCGCGTGGACAGCAGAGAAAAGAAAGATTGCGGCCCCCATACATGTGCATCATGAAAAATGTTTGTTTTCCTACGAGAATCTACACAGTGACCATGGTGACAGGTGTTAGACTTTGAGTCTCTAAAATATAATAAACCCCTTGTAAATCTCTAGAGGAGATTTTCAAGTTGTTGACACGTTCTTGATGACTGGTTTGTGTTGTGTCTCACAGCTGGGGGGATCCCCCCAAAAGAACTTGGCTATGCCACACCCCATTTTTCAAAACTTGGCATTTATTTTAGAGACACCTCGTAATATTACAAATATCATACATTACAAAAGTATACATTTTCGGCTGACCCACCTTGGAAAAATCTGCACTGCGCGGGAACGGTACATGTATATTTATTTTAAAACATTTTTGCCAACATGGTGTCAAAATGACCACAAAGAGTTACTTTAAAACTCTGAAAGGCACAACTTCTGCAAAAAAATGCACCGCGTGGATATTGGAAAAACTGTGGGGGGGGGGACAGAATCCATCCCCCTGGTTCTTATAGGGTTAATTTACATGTATGTAGTATTCAAAATGATGCGGTTGCAACATTTGGAAAGAAGAGATGGTAGGCCTTAATACCAGTAGCGCTGAAGGGCACAAAAGTGCACCTACCATGTATTTTGAGAGCACTGTACATGTATGCAAATACAGGCAATGTACATGTATTGTACATGTACTGGTACATGTACATGTAAGTGCATTATTCGCGCTGCGCACTTAAACGCACTGCCATCCATCGTTTTGCCCATTGTTTGCCCGTACTTTTTTGGAATCACAGTTATAATCGCAAGACTGGTGGTCTGTGGTACCAACACATATGCTAGGGCCTTAGGCTTAGGGACGGTACCCCTAACGTACACTGTACTTGTTACCGGTAGTTCTTAGACTAGAGGAAAGGTGAAGCTGACACTGACAAAAAAAAATCATAAATCCGACGTCGAACCAACAAGGTGTCGGACGTATACATGTAATATGAGGCGTCAGTGCGATTGACTGTGAGACATGGAGGAGTGCGGGCCCATGTAACGCGACGCTGCGTATTTGACGTAAATTCATATGGGATTTTTAAACAGCGTGTTAGCTTCATAAGTTGAAATCTTACAGTACATGTACATTAAGGGTGACAGATCTACATGTAAACTCTGGTGCTGTTTGTTCTTTGGAAAGTGTCCCTGTTTCATAGAGATTTTGGACTTGGCAAAGACCTGGTAAAGACCTATTCATTCACACACGTACTGTAAGTGGGGTGTGAAGTCCACAACTGGAGGTATTTTTAAAGAAGCATGTACATGTAGTACATATGTGGATGAAATGGCCAAACTAAACAAGTTGCCAGATCTCCCAATCAATTGACCTTTAACAAAAACTCAATATCTGTACAGTGCAAATACTGTCATTTTGCATTTAGGGATTTGGAGCGTTTCCTCATGGTGCCAGATCCCACTGAAGACAGCCTTCCAATCAAATTATGCCCTGAGAGAAAGCCAGGGTGTCATTACTAGTGAATTACAGTGGAAATAACTGGGTTACAGTTCCACTGCAACAGTAGGCCAATTTGATTAGAAAAAGACATTAGAGATTTGGTGGGCCGTTCACATGTAGCGGTGTATCCCAAAGCCTTAAATGGCTTTCTTACATGTACTACATGTACTGGAGGTAATGCATTTGCTTATAATTTCAAACAAATTTGTGGGGGGGGGGCTTGTTACTAACCTTGTTCCCAGGGAATTGTTGACAAGGACTCTTCTTTAAATCCTGCAAGACTTCTCAATTTATCCACGGTACACAATGCAGGTTTAAAGTTCATTTTACATGTATGGAGACATGTTTGATAAAATCCATCATTTTTGTCACAGATGTGACTCAAGACATAAACCAATCCTACAGCATACAGGTACCGGTACATCGACCAGTACGCCGCATCCAGAGTGTCTTCTGTGGCATTTGTCTCAGATTCCAGTTGATGGATTCTAGATAGAAATCTGCGTTGAGGGAGCGTGCATACAATTGATAAAGCCTACATGTAATAAGACCATAGGAAAGATCAACCCGGGAGGCCCTTGGGGCGAGTGTGCTCAGCGAAAAAATGAAAAATGGATAATGGGCGAAGAATTAAAATACATGAAAGGGGAAGGGGGGGGGAATGGTTATGGGAAGCAATTGCAGGGGGAGGCAGGGGTGCTTGGCGCCTCGGAGTCGGGACATGTATGATGCAATGGAGAGATTTTTTTCTAGATGCTCCAGCAACATAAACTGTAACTTTATCGGTACCTTATTTTGTGGGGCATAAAGTATACAATTTCCATACTGTTAAATAACGTTGTGCATAAAAATCTATATGTACATTTGCTGGTACTACTTGGATTAAAACAAAATCTCAATATCAGCAAAATTCTTAAACGTTTAAATGTTTGTATCGAAGAATTCTTCGACATTGTCATCTACAGACTTTTTTCTAGCTGACCAGGATTAAAAAGAATTGTTTCATTCAGAACCGAAGCTGAGTTTAAGAATTTTGCTGATATTGAGATTTTGTTTTAATTTAAGTGATGCCAGCTGCATTGCGATGTGGTACAGTAGTTGTCAAAATACAATTGGATAAATACATGTAATTTTGTACGAGTGCATGCACTTCGCAAATTTTGAAAAAAAAAAGTACTTTAAAGAAATTGCATGTGGGTCATTCTGTAAATTTGGGGTCCAATTTTTCCCCGTCCCTGTTACATCTGGCATGCGATTTTTTTAATGTTTAGAACTCATTCCTTAATTTCAGAGACTGAATAAGTACCGAAAATTACCTGCCAAACTTAAAAATAGTTTGAAATCAATTTCAATGAGACAAGTCAAACTTGACAGAAGGTATACACAGCAGAGGTGCCTGGACAGAAAAATATCACACTTTACAAATTTATAGAATGACCCATACCCGGTATGTACATGTATAATGTACATATACACGTACCGTACATGTAACATGTATGTAAATACCATAGAGCAGAGATGCATGGGTCTCAGAATGGAAAACAAATTGCCATGAGCAATCTGTAATTAAATTTCTTTCTTGAATGAGCCGCAATCTGGTGGAGTGGTGCTGAGTTGTGCAACTGAGTGCTGTTTGACAAATTTGGCCTGAGGGATGCATACAGGTGCATACATGTACATGTATGTATGTACATGTACGGTACATACAGAATACTGTACCATAGCTCTTAATACAATGTGGAGACCTGAGAGAGTTTTACCCCCAAGGTATCAGTGCTTGTGCACACACGTGATGCACCTGCCCCTTCAGCTCACAGTAAGCACTTTATTGAATGCATGTTGTAAATGTAAAATTTTCAATCTCGACACTTAATTATTTTTTCAAGATAAAATCTGACATTTTCCTTTTGTACCACACGTCATGCGTGCTTCACAAAATGCAAGACCTGCATGTACATTTATACATGTAGTGCTCACGCGATGGAGTGCCTTCCAAAAGCCGTTCTTGACTTCCTACGAAATTGCAGTCCTCCCGGGGAAAAAAACCCCAGAAAATCCCCCGAGGCACAAATTTCTAGGGCCCCCCGTCCGGCAACTGATTCAATTCCCTTCCAAAAAAGGAAAAGACTGAAGAAAAAAAAAATCTTGTCAGTGTGATGGTCACCGCTGCGTTGACACGTTGCACCCTCCCACACACTAACGCCACCTCGCCAGGTCTCGACTCTCATTGTGCGATGCGCTTGCATTCTCTCGTGATCAGACTCACGGAGAAGTGCACGTACATCTATGCACTGCAGTCACTCGGTTTAATAGGCAGTTTGTGGATGAACGCCACTATCGAGATTCAATTTGAGGCGGAAGGACAAGCATTTCCAGAGGACACTGACTGCTTCACATTTGTTTTTCCTCCTGCTTGGATGCTTGCTCTGTGGTTCAAGAATGGTGAGTTTCTATAATCCTGAGGAGCCTCTGCCCTCCAAGTGATGGGCAGGATAGTATGCTCTTCATCTGTGTTCGGTATTGTTAAAGCCTCTGTGAATGGTTTGAATTTTGGAGTTACTAGTACAAGAAGACAACAGTGTATTCACTTAGGGGAGACAGCAAGTTTATGTGCTTGCGTGTACATAGCAACCACATGTATTGTATGAAACAGTATTTGCACTTGTCTGTGTATAATAGGATTACATGTACATGTACATGTATGGTTGTGTTGCACCAAAAACTGCACACGGATGGATGTGTAAAGTTTGATGAGGGTGTGTACTATTGTACGATCAACAATACTGGTGCGGCAGGACAGTCGAAAATAAAATACTGGTACATGTATTGTACATGTACAGTACACGTGCAGTACATGTACATGTAGGTCAAACTAGAGTTGGGTGTCCTTTACAGTATTGTTCACTGCTCTGAGTTGTGTTGATGTTGAATTAATAAAAACCTTAACCCCCTAGGGTCTATTCAAAATCATATTGAAATCGGAGGATTCAGGACTGTTAGAGCTGGATGATGCTCGAGTACGAGTACATTGTACATGTAGGTCTGGAAGAGGGGTACGTTGTGTAAGAATTCTTCACTTTTGCAGCATGAGGTTGGTTACCATGTCCAAGTACATGATGTCCGGATATGTGTTGGTGCATTTGATGTATTGACTTCTTGCTAAATGTAAGGTACATATGTACATTGTGCATTGGAGGCATTGCTACTGTTGGCCTAGGATAAGGAAGTGAAAGTTTGTCAAGCTGCATGGGGCAGCTGACTGTATCCTGTTCAAGCATACTGGTACAGTGTAGCTGAGAAAGTCCAGAAAGTATACATGTAATGCATGTACGCAGTGTTGCATATGCCATCACGTTCACGTCCAATACTTTGTCCAAATGTCAAACCAGACTGAATCTGCTTGCCCTGAAAGAAGGTACTCGGTTACCGAAAGCTCGGCAATCACATTCAGAGCACTGATTTGATATTATATTCTTGTCAATATTATGATGCTCAGGTGTACTGTGTATTAAACTGTCTTGACATTCCTCCATTTGTAGGCCTATCATCGCATTTAACGGAAAAATTCATTTCAATACTGTGCATGCCGGTATATGAATGTGTACATGTACATGTACATGTGTACGGGATCTACAACTTTAGAAAGAAATTGAAAAATAAAAGACAAAAATGCAAGTGGCTTTGAAGGTTTGCAGTTGACAAGTGGTACGTACATGTACGGGGGCAGTGCGTATGCCGGTACGTACATTTATGTAATTGTTTATTTGAATTTTTTGTCATAAATAATGAAGTGCTGTATATGTACATATACATATGTACATGTACATATATATACATGTACATGTGTACATATACAGAACACATTATAAATGTAACGTTACTATTACATTTCATACGCACAGTGTTACATTCACATTCAAATACACATTAAAATGGCTTTATACATGTACCGTAAGTGACATACTGTATACTGGGCATGTGACATAGTTTGGTGTACAGTGTATCTACATGTACCGGTATGGCTGTGCAGCGTCATCAACTTTACGCTATGCTTCATTTAGTAATTTCTCTCCTCTAGAGTTTTCCCCCTCTCCTTTTTTTTTTTAACCCTTTCACCGTGATGATGTTGACAGGTCAGTGAGTCATAGACCGGTACATGTACGGTACGTTCCCCTCTAGGTCTAGGCTTGTGTCTCGGGGCCCGTCCTTCGTCAGTCTCGTGGAAGATGAGAAGAGCGAAGACGAAGATGAGCTGATAACTGCACTGCATTCCCTCTTGAGGAATTGATACCGCCTGCGTCTGCGCTCCTTCCCAACTTCATCTTGCCCAGGGTTGATTGGGGATTGCAAGCTTCAATGTCTCCGAGATCCACCCCTCGCGTGGCATCACCGGATTCCATCAGTCTGGTGTTGTTTGGAATCACATGGGCGAGGGGAGAAACTTGTCACGGTCTTGATTTGCAGGCGCTATCATCATATCTCGTACATGTAGATTGCATCAGGCATTTGATTGGCAGATATCCACAGTAACAACTCTCTCCAAAAATTTAAACAAAAAATCATAGTTTTTATGTCCGTGTACAGGATAGTTCTCAGGTTTTGTTTTTGGTTTTAGCAATTGGAAGACAATGGTACAGTATGCAGAAATTCTTCTATACATGTCTGTGCAATTTCAGCAATACTGTACACTGTACGTAATGTACACTGTACATACATACATGTACATATGTACCGGTATATGTTCCATGCATACTGTACATGTTTATAGTCAACCAAAATATTGCAGCAGATTGGACTTTTGCTGTGCGTTGTGGAAGAACAATTTCAGTTGTGGTCAATTCATGGGTCGAATTTCATGACAAAAAAAGAACAAAAATGAAAACAACAAGAATACACTGTCCGTCATAAGACGGACACAGACATACCTGTACATGCACATGTACCAGTAATTGTGAAGCAACTGGTTTTTTTAGACATGTAATGGTGTACTCTGCCTAATTGATTTCCAAGAAAATTGAATCTGTGTGGGAAAAAATGAAAGGAGAGAGTGCACGAATGTACTTTCTTATATTTGACTCCAATTTGAGAATAAACATGCTAGAAAAAGCACCAGACAGCTGGATTTAAAGCATTAGTCATGCTACATGTACAGTGTTTCCATCATTAGTTTCGCTCCACCAGTCCAGTGGGTACGGTATTTCCACCCTTATTACTGTACGTGTACACATGTACATGTACATGCAGGTACACGTACCTAGTACGGTACATGTACTCCGTACATTAGTACCCTGGTATGATGTCTGCTGTCAGTTAAGGAGGTGATTATATAAATTGTAATTGAGATGGCTCATTAGAGACCTCTTGTCATTCCAAAGTACATGTACCGGTACATGTACGTGTATTGCTGGTTCCTACACGTATGTACATGTACATATCACTGAGTGGAGTGCAACTGGATTGTCAGGTTGAAAGATACATGTAGCTTCTTAAAAAGGGAAGCTTGAATGGTCTACCAGTACATGTATGTACCGGTACGTGTACATTGTAGGTAAAAGTCATCAGGCCCCCTTCTGAGCAGGTGCCCAATGCACACTGTGAGGAGATATCAACAAATACTTTTTCACTCGAAGAGTTGAAATGTACATGTGTACTCCGTACATGTACATGTATACTTACATGTACAGTACAGGGCACCGGTACGTGCATGCACACACATCAGTACATACCGGAAGCTGAATGTGTCCTTTGGCCCCTTATGTATTCTTGTTCTCGTTGCTCCCAAACCGTCATCTCCTATGAATTGAAAATTGTATAAAATTGTAGTGATACATACACGTACATGTAATGGTACCACTATACATGCATGATCATAAAAAAATGTGTACTTGGTGTATTAGTCATTTCAGTGACCAACGGATTAGTAGATGGTTCAAAACTGGATTTTTTGTGTACATTCAGTGGAATCATTTTTTATTGGTTGTGAGGACATTAAGTGTACTGTAACTGGACATTTGATGTACCATAGTTTGGAAACAATGTCCACACTGTCAAATTATGAAGTAATGCAGAAATGCAGTATGTACGTACATGTACATTGTACACGTGACATGTACATGTACATGTACATGCATGTGGTTGTCATTGTATGTGCAGGTGCATACGGTGCCTTGAGATATACCGTAGGAATCAATATTTGTATACATGTACGTGCTTCCACAGTTATGTTCTCGGGAGTCTGTTGGAGACGGAGAGACCTTTAATTACAAACCCTGATCAGGCTGAGTTTCCAACTGCTTTGGGGCTGGTATACACCAATAATTGGTACGAAAATTAAAATTGATCAATATTGAACCCATGGGGACGGAAGGTTTTCTTCTTGAGACTTTGTGAAGCATGAAAAATCTTGGCTGTTGGCAGGCAGGGGCCGTTGAAATATTTCCAGCAGACAGTTTTATGAGGGGAGGGCGTCTTTATTATATCCAGGCATGGTTTGTTATTGGCTGTTAATCAGTCAGTGTTTATATACGATGTCGGCATGAGGGGGTGGACACGTAAACTCACAAGCTTAAGAGTTGGACCGAGAAGTTGGAGTCCCATCTTCCTTATTTCATTTTTTCATGCTCTGAGTGTTGGCCTAAAAAATCTTGTTGCGGTTAGCAAGCGTCATCTTGATTTCATGTTTTGTGTTCCACTTCTCACGCTTGTGCAGATACATCCAAAGAAAGAAAAAATTCCTACTGTACATGTAACAATTATTCTGCTCTGTAAATGAAATGGTCCAAGATTTATAGTGTCCCCCTCCTTCCCCCTTCCCCCCCCCAAAAAGTCACTTTTCATCTGTGGTTTAAAATATTTGAGCTGGAAATTCACCGGTACACATACATGTAGGTCCCTGGTACCACTGGTATGTCAAATGAGATTTTATATGGCAGTCAGTAAATCATGACAAAGTCTGCCTGTAGGCAATTAGAACATTGTTACATGTATCTTGTGAATATACCGGTACAGACATGCCACTGTTGATCGTACATGAACATGTACATGTATACATAACAGTTCAAATCAGTTCCATGGGAGTGGAACCAGGAATGCTAATTAATTCATTTGTACACGCAGCTGGTCAGTGTGTAGTGAGAACATACATGTACATGTGTCTTTTAATTGAAACATGATAAGGTACAGTACATTTTTGTACATAAATGTACACGTATGTACATGTACCGTACATGTGTATGAACATGTACACCACATCAGACGAATTCATTTCATTTCAATACTGGCACTCAGCACCTCAGGTTCCTGGTGATTTACATGTTAAACTTAACATTGTGAATATCCAACCTGTCAAATTAGGGTATCCCATTTTCTCAAAGGTACTCAAGAAAACATCCAGAAATGTATCTGTCATGAGATTTTAGTCAACATAATGTGCCTGTGGAATA